TATGGATCCTAATCAACGAGCATCAAAAGAAAAAGATAACACCCTAATTGAAAAGGGGACGTATCAAATACTAGTTGAAAAACTTATTTATCTATCACATACAAGACCTGACATTGCTTTTCATTGAGAATGGTAAGCCAACGTATGAATGATCGAAATGAAGATCATTTCAAAATAGTTTTTCAAATTCTGAGGTATCCAAAAACAACTTCAAAATGTGGATTAAAATTTAAGAACGCTGAGAACCGTGGCATTAAGATGAACACTGATGTTAGTTGTGCATGAGAACTGACTGATAGAAAATCTATCAAAGGTTACTATTCATTTGTATGAGGACATTGTTACTTGAAGAAGTAAAAAGCAAGTTGTGGTGGAAAGAAGCAAACCAAAGCATTATTAAGATGTTCAGTGATAGTCAATAAGTCATCAGTATTTCAAAGAATCTGGTACACCACGATCAAGCCAAAAATATAGAGATTGATAGACAATTCATCTCTGAGAAAGTTAATAGAGGGATTGTTCAACTTAGCTATATCCAAACTCAATATCTGATTGTTGACATTCTTACCAAGACTCTTCCTGAGCACCACTTCAATGATATAAGCAACAAGTTTGGAATGTATGACATATACAACCTAATTAGAGAGAGAGTACTCATATGCATATCCAGTTAAGGAAATTGTTGGCCAACTATTATATTTAAGGGGAGAAATTATTCTCTTAATTATCCATTATTGTGTTTTTATTTCTTTTATTTTAATCATGATAATTTGATTTTTCCTCCAATTGTACAAGGGTTAGTCTAAGCTATATCAATATATTTGTTATTTGGTTAATGAAAAATTAGATGGTTTATTTCTCCCAAATATCTACACTTACATGTGTTTTCTCTCATGTGGATCTCATTTTTGAATCCTTGCATCTAATTCACACTACTCTCTTTCCCAAACCAATCGTGTTCCTCTTGCAACACTCACGATCTCTAAGCAGTAAAATCTTCAACTAGTTCATCTCTAGTCACTTAACTTCCAAAGTCGAGTTGCTTCTTAAATTTGCAGAGATATATTATAATATCAAAATTATCGCATGACCTAAATTATCCATAGAAGGAATATACATTGTCTATTAATGTATTATTTCCCCTTTATTGTAGATATTCTTTGTTAGTATATTTTCTTTTATTTTATCCTCTTAAATATATATTAACAAATATAAGTTGAACAACTAAGAAAATTCAAAAAAAAACGATCATTCATATTTCTCCATGTCTTCTAACAATGCTAATGAGAAATACACATTAAATAGATATACATATCAAACTATATCATAACAATTAGTCACCATACTCGTTAGCAATAAAAGCATATATGTCACTTTCAGCCAAGTACAAAAATATGATACTCAACACTTGATTGAAAAAGCATCTTTCCTCCAAACTCGTCACCAACACTAGCCTTATCCAAATTATTTAGGGTTGAATTTTTAAATCTCAATCCCTATTTCTTTTTGTTAAAAGTTGCATGTGATTATAACTATAGTTGTAGAAATTTTCATATAGAGGGCACTGTTATCTTTGGTGCGCACCTTCTATTACCATTCTTTCACATAAATTCTAACTGCAATGTTTATTTGTCAATCATATACTTTCCTTTGTGCATGATAAGAACATTATTTAGAGTAAAAGTGAGACATGTACCAACTCTAAAATTTAGTCATTTATCAAGTGCATGAGGGTTAGCCTGAGTTGTATGTATATTTGTTATTTGCTTAATGAAAAATTAGGGAGTTTATTCCTCCCAAATATCTACACTTACAGGTGTCTTCTCTCAGGTGGATCATTGATGAATCCTTGCATCTAATTCAGACCACGTGTTCCTCTTGTGACACTCACGATCTCTAAGCAATAAAATCTTCAAATACTTCACCTTTAGTCACTTTATTTCCAAAGTCGAGTTGTCAACTTAAATTTACAGATAAATATTCTAATATCAAAATAATCGCATGACCTAAATTATCTCTAGAAGGAACATGTATTGTTTGTTAATGTACCATTTCCACTTTATTGTAGATATTTTTTGTTATTATATTTTTTTATTAATTCTCCTCTTAAATATATATTAACAAAAATATGTTGAACTTTTGTTAATGTACTATTTCCACTTTATTGTAGATATTTTTTGTTAGTATATTTTTTTATTAATTGTCCTCTTAAATATATATTAACAAAAATATGTTGAACTACTAAGAAAATTCAAAAAAGATAATCCTTTACATTTCTACGCATCTTCAAACAATGCTAATGAGAAATACACATTAAATAGAAATACATATCAAAATATATCATAACAATTAGTCCCCAAACTGGCTAGCCATAAAAGCATATTGTCACGTTCCACCAAGTACAAATATATGATGCTCAACACTTGATTGAAAAAGCATCTTTCCTCCAAACTTATCATTATCATTAGCCTTATCAAACAATTTAGGCTTAAAATTTTAATTCGCACTCCCTATTTACTCTTTTTAAGAGTTGCATGTGATGATAACTATGGTTGTAGAAGTTTTCATATAGAGGGCAATGTTATCTTTTGTGCGCACCTTTCATTACAGTTCTTTCACATAAATTCTAACTGCAATGCTTATTTGCCAATCATGTACTTTCCTTTGTGCATGATAACAACATTATTTAGAGTATAGGTGAGACATGTACCAACTCATAAATTTAATCATTTCTCAATTGTATATATATTTGTTATTAGCTTAATAAAAAATTAGAGAGTTTATTCCTCCCAAATATCTACACTTGCATGTGTCTTTCTCGGGTGGATCTCATTGTTGAATCCTTGCATCTAATTCAGACTACTCTCTTCCCCAAATAAATTGTTTCCTCTTGTGACACTCACAATCACTAAACAATAAAATCTTCCACTACTTTATCTCTAGTCACTTTACTTCCAAGGTCGAGTTGTCATCTTAAATTTACAGAGAAATATAATAATATCAAAATTATCACATGACCTAAATTATCTCTGGAAGGAATAGTATTGTTTATTAATGTATTATTTCCACTTTATTGTAGATATTTTTGTTAGTATATTTTTTATTAATTCTTCTCTTAAATATATATTAACAAATATATGTTGAACTACTAAGAAAATTCAAAAAAGAAAATCCTTCATATTTATCTGCATCTTCTAACAATGCTATTGAGAAATACACTATAAATAGAAATACATATCAAAATTTATCATAACAATTAGTCACCATACTGACTAGCCATAAAAGCATATATTTCATGTTTCACCAGGTACAAAAATATGACGCTCAACACTTGATTGAAAAAGCATCTTTCCTCCAAACTCATCACCAACATTAGCCTTATCTAAACAATTTAGGCTTGAAATTTTTAAATCTCACTCCCTATTTATTCTTGTTAAGAGTTGCATGTGATGATAACTATACTTATTGAAGTTTTCATATAGAGAGTAACGTTATCTTTGGTGTGCACCTTTCATTACCGTTCTTTCACATAAATTCTAACTGCAACGCATATTTGTTAATCATGTACTTTCTTTTGTGCATGATAACAACATTATTTCGAGTATAGGTGATATATGTACAAATTCTCAAATTTAATCATTTCTCGTTTCTACCTTTTCTTAGTTTTATCCCACATCCATCTTAACATACTAATTTCTACCACACTATATTTTTCTAGTAGTGACAAACAATGCTCAAATTCATGTAGCATGTCAAGCTGCTATAATTTTATTTAATTAACATTTCAGTCTTCATGAATTCTCTTACCGCATAGTTGTCTCAAGGCACTTTCCACTTTTATCACTCAAATTTAAATCTAGAAGCGTATAAGACATAAACATATAGAACTACTCAAATTAAGGTATGACCACTGGAGCAAGATCCTAACCCCGCATCTCCTATACACTAACTAGGTTCATGCCTAAACAAGTATTTGCTCCAAGAAGCAATTGAAAAACACACTCAGACTAGGACCTCAAACATTGATTGATGGGACAAAGTACTTGACAATTAGCTTAGAGCTCAGGTTCCAACTTTCGTTAGTTATCTGGCTTCAATCTTTAGGAAACTCCTTGGCTAACATAACGCAAAGTTGCAAACAATAATATCTTCACAAAATTGTTATGTTTCCCTAACTCAAAATTCAATGCCCATAGTTACATCACAAAACGCTCTGAAATAGACCTATGTTGCCACAATCAAGGCTCCCTAAAAACTAAGAACATTAATGGATAAACCATGGACAATTGCTAGAAATATGAACTTTCAATAAAAACTCCATTGAGTTCTCACACAGCCTAACTTAAAACCATAATTAAAAACCCTAAGTTCTGTTTGCACCACAGAGCTCCATGAATTGAAGCTACGTTTTTAAAATGAAGCCTCCCTAATAACCCCAAATTGTTAGCAAATTAACCTTAGATGATTACATAAAGAAAGATAAAGGTTTGGGTAGACCACTCAATTAAAACTCATACATACAAACATCCCCTCTAAACCCATAGTTAGAGTAAAAGCTCCCTGACTTAAAGCTATGTTTTCATGTCAACTCTCCTTAATAACGTATAATGGATGGCTAATAAAACCTAAACATATGCAAAAGGTATGATCGTTTGGGAAATAGCCGGTCAAGCACCAGCCCGTCGTGCTCACAATAATTGTTCCATAGGTTGGGCAACAAATGTATTTAATATCCCATCAAAACTTTTCTCTTCTCCTCGTCAATCACGGGTTTTTCTGAGGCTTAAACCTTTAAGATTATCAACAGAGATGAACTCTCAGCTAGACCAAAAATTAAGCCATGCAAAATAGAAATAACATGTTTCAAAGCATTCAATCATTAGTCACAGTTGACATAATCAAGCCAGACCCCAAATCTGAGATAGACAAGAATGAAATATAACACACACAAAAAATGCAGACCAATATTGACTTCGGATTTTAGCTACCAAATGACTTACAAGCCTCTAAAAACTGATACTTGCCCAACTTGTTGCCCGCCTCAGTCGGATCATCTGATTTGAACTCAAAGACGGAGAAATCCTTCGAACGGTCCCTCATGAGTGACAGATCCCAACACACCAAGACTATACTTCGTCAAATCCAGAAACCTAGGTAGAAGGAAACGTTTGACAGATTATAAACCGGGAATTGAAGCCATTCAGAACTGAACGGATTGCGTAGAGGAGAGGTGACGGATGGCAAAACAATCGGACCGAAATGGATATAGTGGAGCGATCCGTCAAGCTGCCCTAACTGTCCGCTGTGACGAAGAGCATACCACCAATATCGGAGCCTGGGCCTAAAAAAGCGGAAATTGCACAAGAAGGTCACCGATTAACTGGTCTCAGAGTGCTCATTACTCTTACGGAACGGCCCCGATATGTCACGTGCGATCCCTCGCACGTGTATGCGACAGCTAGTCTCGTGTTTCATAAGCTTCAGCAAGCCAATTGACAAATGAACCCACTCGATCCGCTTATTAGGGTAAGTGGAGTGGACTAGTGAGCCTATTTCAATAAGCGGCTGATGAGGTAATAAGTCGAGCTCAAGTCAGCCCTAACTCTGACTCATTAGTTAGTGAGTTGGCTTGTTTAAAAAATATTTGATATAAAGTATACCAAATGTGTTAATTTTAATAATTTATCTTTAAATTATTATTATGTTTACGGATAATTAGCCGCCATGGCCCCCAAAAAAATAATTAGGCTTAATTGGGATAGTTCACAGCTAATGAACTCCTGAAGAATTGCACAACTCGAAGCTCGTCGTCATAACCTATTATTCACCTCAATTGGGCCATCAAGATGTGTCAGATTGACTTGGTGGATTGACCTAGCTAGTCATCCAAGAGGATTGAAGCTTCAGCTATTATTTTCCCATGAGCCAATATGCTTGTCAAACCCATTTGCGGAGTTCGCACTAGCTAGTAATCCTATCAATTGCAAAATTGTTGAAATAAGGATTGTATTAAAATGATTAACATATACTCCATTATTATTTATGAGATATTTGACATATGTGTCATGATCCTTTCAGGCAAGATGTCGCGGACAGATATCGTACCATATATATCATAAATTTATTTTATTTTCCTCTTTATATATTTAAGGGGAGAACAACAATTAATAGAGGGGGTCTCTCTCTCTCTCTCTCTAAGTTTTTCTTATTTTGGTTTAAGGAACTAGTTCATCTCCTCCATTTTGTCAAGTGAGGGA